GGTCATATTGGGCAAGCTCGCCTGTGTATTCTTCAAAGATGGTTTTTGTTGTCTTGGCCGACGGCGTGTAAAACAAAACGATCTTGGCCACATTCTCTCAGAAAGGCTTTGCAATACTGGAGAGCTGCTAGGCCAGCATCCACACGCCAATGCCTGTGTGTCGAGCCAAAAAGCCAAGCTTGACAAGCTCAGCAGTCCACCCTTTCACATCTTTTGAGGCTACACAGTCATTAAGGACAATGAAAGTGTTGGTGCCTTCAAAAAACATGCTCACCGCTTTTAACCATAGTTCTATGAGGAGATGCTAGCATATGACAACAAACAGCCATGGGTCTCTCTCAGCAAAGCAGTAAAGGGTCTTGTTGGAAGCAAATGTAGGGAAGATGAGCATGATGTAATCAGATCTGCCGCAAAAATGACCGCAGAGCTGATTTACGAGGAACTGCGTCTTTCCTGAGTTGGAAGGCCCCATGATGAGTGTGTGGAAGGGAATATTGCCGGGATCCATATTTAATACTGCACAGATTCTAGCCGTCTATCCATTATGTATAACTGAGAGTCAGAGATCACGAATATGTGTCAGTTCACGGTGCCTGAGCCTTTGGCATTCCACTCGATTTCTAGCTGGATGCCGTCTGTGGTATTCACCAGGAGCGTGCCGCTGCCATGCATTGCTTGGCTGGCCATGGAGTGCGGATCAATCAGAAGCCTGAACTTATCGTCAGTGTAGAATTTTTGCAGATTCTTTTCTTGGTTTATTTTTTTCTTTCGCAAAGAAACGGTTGACCGGCTTCTTTCCAAAGTGTTGGCTGATAACAAGATCTCTGAAGCGGAGTTCCAGCTTATTATGACTGAATTTTCACAGTATAATGAGCTAAAAGAAGCCTTGAGGGCTAAACTCACTCGCCAGCCATCTCGGCCTAATGTTGAAAAAATTAAAAAAGATATTCAAAGCCAGGTACAAAAAGAGTTTCAGAAAAAAATAGTAACCGCCGGTTCAAATTGAAAACACAGGATTTAATTTGCATATTCTAAAAACATGATGGTCAGTTTTCACTTGATTGCTTTTCTTATGAATGAATATTTCACACCAGAGTGGCAAAGAGATGTGTGTGATATAACGCGCGAGGTCGTCGCTGCCATGCAGGCTTTTTTTATCTTTTCAAAGTTGGGAAACTCCCATCTGTTTGTTTCAATACATTAGTTTCCCACCTGTGGGAAAGCAAATGACTCTTGTGATTTATCCATTGTTTTAAAGAATCACTAAGAAGCAGTTTCCCACCCATCGGAAAGAAAATTACTCTTGTATTTCACGTGATTCATCCATTGTTTTATATGCATTTACTTTCCCACGTATGGGAAACCAAAAAAAACAGCACTCTTGTAACCAAACTGTGACAAGACATTGTCATGCAAGGCTCATTTTTTGTCAAGAATATTGACAACCTCATGCGGATTCGTTTCATGGCATCAACAACATCTTCCGGCAAGAACAATGTTTTATCATCGTTCGGCACACCAAAACGCCTCCACGGCGCTTCTCCTCTTCCTTTGTCTGTGCAAATTTTGGGCTTCTTTTGGCTTTGATCAATTGGTCCATTTCTGTTGTGCCCCATATTTATACAGGTAGCTCGCAAATAATCAAATGGTTTTAGACTGCCCTATTCTTTGGTTTTGGGCACCTGTTTTTTTGTATGACTATAAAGGGTCTTTTTTCTTACCATTTTGCTGCATCCAAAGCATTCTTCTTTTGGAATTTTTTGTTTCTAACCTTTTACAATGGTATTTTCTGTGTCTGTGAAGACTGTGACATTGCGTGAACGTTTTCCCACAGGCTTCACAAAGGTAA